ACACCGGCGCTGCCCCGACCCCCCGTTCTCCAGGGTCCTCGCGGCCGCCCCGCGCGCCGGGCACCCCCAGCGCCGGCCCTCTGGCACTGCGCCCTAAACCATCACCCCGAGACCCTCAGATCCAAGACCGTGTCCTCAGCCATGTGACCCGGGAGCCCTCAGGCCCACAGGCCCCCAACCCAGCCGCTCAGGGCTGGGCTTCTCACATCAGGCCCTCCGGAGACGGGCTGTCAGACTTGGAACCTTTACAACTGGACCTTCCCCCCCAGGCCTTGGAGATCCAAGGACCTCCCTCTTCAGACCCAAGAGCCTAAGAGCTGGGCCCTCAGAATTAGACCCCACAGCTGGAGCCCTTGGACTCGGGAACCCTCAGACCCAAGCTCTTTGAATTAATTGGGGACCCAAAAACCTGGGCATTGGTCCTGGGATTCCCGGCCTGTACCCCGGCCCAGCTCAGCTCAGCCCACAGGCCTTCGGCCCTGAGCGCCTCACACAAGACCTCAGACTTAGGGTCCTCGGTCCCACTGCTCCAGCTCCAAGAACCTCACACCCAGAGCCAGAGGACTTTGTGCCCAATTTCTTGGCCCGAATTTGTCCCACAGTCTGTCTGAACCCAAGGCCACAGTCCTGGCACTCCTTCCAACCCTCCCCCTACGCCCCTCCCCCTGCCCCCCACAAAGAACCCACCCACACTGTTCAGTCCCAGGGCAGCGTCCCAGGAGGACGGGATGGAATTAGGGGACCGGGATCTCCAGGGCTCTGGCATTTACCAGCCTTGTGACCTTGAAGAAGTTACTCAACCTCTCTGAGCCTAGCTCCCCATCTGTAAAATAGAAACACTTGTATGGAAAAGTTGGTATGGAGAATGCATTAAGAGGGGAAGGGGCTCAGCTCATAACAGAAGTTCAGTATTCCTTCCTTCCTTCCCTTCAGTTCACATAATGGAGGGTTTCTAACTCTTACATTTGTATCCCCTAAATTTCTACATTTCAGACAAGAAAACATTTCTTGTCTGAATACCCTGCCCCCCAATTTGATATCACAGCAAAGGCTAGACAGTATCTAAAGGGTAACCTCTCCAGATCTCAGACTTAATGGGATTGTTGGGCAACCCCAAGTGGCTAAGGAGCTGGGACAGAGTGACGTAGGGGAAAAACCCAATGCACAAGAGGGACCTTCCTGATTCAGTCCTAAAATAATCAGAACTCTTCCTGCATTCCATTTTGTCCCAGTGTGCTTAAAAGCATCAGTCTATTAAAACAAAATCATATATCACTTAGAGAAGACTCAACTTTTATTTTTTTAATGCAAATGGATTATTTCATTGCTGGAATCACAGACACCCAAATTCTGCTTTAATCATTTCTCCTGCTGTATGGACTGACCATGGCAAAGCTCTTCTTGCATACTGCTGGTGGGAATATAAAATGCTCCAAATTTTCTGAAAGGCATTTATTCACTCAACAATTATTTACTGAGTATTTACCATGTAATAGGCCTAGGGCTGGGATTTAACAATATATATCAAGGGCTTTGAAAATGTTCTCACTCTGTAATTCTACCTCTAGGAGGGTATCCTAAGGAAATAATCAGAAATCAGTGGAAATATAGAGCATGTGAGGATAAGTATCTAACAAGAGGGAATTGGACAAATCACGTTAATCATAAATAGAATATTTTCCAATGATTAAAAATCATCCAAAAAATCAGACTGATATCAAAGAATATTTAATGGTGCTGGGAAATGCTCTTTATATAATAGTAAGTGGGGGGAGGGGGGAGGGAAACAACACAGTTGACTTTTGAACAAGAGGGGTTTGACCTGCGCAGGTCCACTTACCTGTCGACTTTTTTCAATAAATATAGTCAGCCCTCAGTAGCTCGTTTTGCATTCACAGGCTGAACCAACTGTGGATCAAAAACAGTATTTTTGATCCATGGTTGGGAATCTGGAGATGCAGGGAGCTAACTATATGCATTGTTCTAGGCCATTTTATATAAGGGACTTGGGCATCTACACATTTGGGTATCCATGGGGAGTCCTGGAACCAATTCCCCTTGGATACCAAGGATTGATTGTAGTTAAGTTTTGGGAGAGTCCAAAGTTATATGTGGACTTTCGACTGCATCGGGGTCAGTCCCTAACCCCTGCATTGTTCCTGGGTCAACTGTACATGCATTTGTATGACCCCAAGTTTTAAAAATATATTTATAGGAAAAACACTGAAAGAAAATACACCAAAATATTAACTTGGGGTCTTCAGGAAGTGGGATCATGATGCTTTCCATTTTTATGCTCTTCTGTGTTTTTCAAAATGTCTCTAATGGAGATATTTTACTTGTATAATTACAGAAAAAAATAGTATCATATGAGTTGCAAAGGTCATAAAAGAACCACCTTGTCTAGTCTTCCTTGCTAGAAAAGGAAACTGAAAGTGAGAAATCAGATACTTGATGGAATGAAACCAGAAACTCAATCTAGACTTTCCTTTTCTCTGGAAATTCTTGCCTGAACTACGCCCCTTAAATACTATGATGCATCTCATAATTTCATTTTCACCTTTCCAAATCAGTGCCTTGTCAGCGATCCTCTGAGGACCTTGGACTTACCTGGATTCACTGGAGACCAGGCCCCAAACCCTACAACAGCCTCAACATCTGTTTGGCTTTTGAAGTGGCTCACATATGGGAGGAAACCCTCCCCAGATAGAGGGGAGCTTAATCAAACCAGCTTTGCTGCTAGTCTCGGTCTGGGCAAAGCTAATGAGGTATGCAGTACCTTAGTTTTTGCCACATACACTACTACTCAGGGCTAGCAGGAAAAATATTTATATTCTTGTTTGTTGCCAAATGTTAGATAGCCCAGAGGTTATAGAACAACATGATGTCTGGCCAGACTGGCTGAAGATGAGTTTTAGTAAGGATGCTTCTAGACCTGGCAACTGCTCCACAAATCAAGTCACAGAAGCTTGTGGAGAACTCAGTGCTCCTAAGCAGCATCGCCTCCCAACTCAAACTGATTTTCTTTAAATATTCATGATCTGGACAGAAAAGCAAAATTCAGCTCAAATCTGATCATCATATCGCAGAGGAGCGTTCCCCAGGTTTCTAAGGTCGTATGAACTGTGTTACAGCTAAGAGCACTTAGAACTGACTATGGGACCTCCTCTTAACCCAGTTCTACTTATGTAGCGTCGACATTAGTTCTGGGTTTTTGTGTGACTTGAACTTAAATTTCTTCTAGTTGATTCCGCTTCACCCTGAAATTTCACTGAAGATGCTGAGAATTCTTGTCTCTGCTGTTTGTAATCCAAACGAAGACAAACCAACAACAAAGGACCTAAAACATCTGGGACCTGGAGATATTCAAGTGCAGCCCAGGAGTAACTTCACAGCACTCCCGTTCTGCTCAGACAGAGCCGATTAATAAATTATGCTAACACATGAGGCACTCAGAGTACCCCAGCTGCTCAGAGTGACAGTCAGCCCTTGGTAGAGTGTGTTTTAATATAAAAATTTAATAGATGTAATTTAATAGCAATTCTCTTTGGGAGTAAATTGGTCTCTAAATCATACTCTAAGAACATTTTTTTTTTAAAAAGGCTAATAATCTGGACAAAACTTAAACCTGTGGTTACCTAAGAGGTACCAGTGTGCATTCAGCAGTGCTTGTACTTCCAGATGAATACGCACGTCAGGTGCACGGGACGAATGGCAACTGGGATGAGGCTCTCCCCTTGCTGTTAAGATTTGCCACTCAGAAAAGAAACAAGCAGCATTTTACCAATAGGGGAATGTTTCTAATAGAATATAAAAACCTGTTAAGCAATTTTCCAGTACATTAGGCAGAAATTGCTTAAGATGAGTGTATCTTCCTGTGATAATCAAACACTGCATAAATTGCAGTCTTATAACGTCCCTATGTGGGACATACTAGTACAACTTGGCCTATTTTAGTTAAGTCATTTGTACTCAGTTCCACATATGACCTCATACAGTCAAAACCACCTCTGTTATCTGGGAGAGGATTTTCTAATTTGAGGGCCACTCATGCTTTCACTGGAAGTCATTCTTTCTGGCAGCTCATATGTACAGGGTTTAAAATGAAAAAGCCAACCCACTGGTTTTCCTTATTGCCAGCTTTAACAAAGATAGTTTGAGAATCCTGGCTCTGAGTAAAAGTAACAAATTATCATTTACAGAGAAGCATCCCTAACTTCTTGCTACTCGTCTATTCAACTTTCTACTGATATACAGAGATCAAAGACCATGATACCTAGGGAGCATTTAAAAAAAAAAAAAAGGAAATGAGCTTGAGAAAATACATTTGAGTTACACAATATAAATCAGCTAACAGCCAGTTCTGACATTCACACCCCCCCATGCTTAGCTTGCACAAATTTTTTCATCTTTAGGATAACTATTTAAGTAATTCTGCTCTGAAGACAAATAATCACTGAATGTCAACATAGAAAAAGGGTAGGAACAGGTATAGGTAGAAGCCATAAAGTAACAGTATATAGGAAAATGCTACAACTGTAGCAGGGGATAAGATCTAGAACATTCTGAAAACAACAACAAAATTCTATAGAATGATGTTTCCAAATACTTTAATGCCACATAAAAAGATACTGTTATAGAAACTGACAGTGCTCTAGTAATGGGAACAGTGTAAGACACATAGGGTGATGAAAAAAGAAATGCTTTGGAGCCAGGCAGGCTCCTTTGAATCCCAGCTCTACTGCACACTAGCTGTATAACCCTGGGCAAGTCAAACAGCAAGTCTGTTTCCCTGCCTATAAAATGGGACATGTTTAACTTCACAAAGTTGTTCAAAGGATTAGTTAATGCAGAAAATTGGCTCATCAGGTATTGAAAGAAATAAATGGTAGCTATTAGTATTAATGACAATATCACACTCCATACTTCAGGACTGCTGAGAAGCTACAGGGAATGCTTCTGTAGGAGAATTTGAATAGGGCTTCAAGTCTGTATTTTGAGCAAGTTCCCCATTTTTTTCAACGTTATATCAAACCATCAACATGTGTAGTGTTTTACCTACCAGCAAGCCTTCTTCCTGGTGGATCTGAGCCTGTGAATGCTGACCATTCAGAAACGCACAAGAATGGAATCCTTGTTTCTCACGTTGATTTTGGTCATTTTCATCTCAATCACAAACTAGAGTATGGTACAATATTAAACAGGTTTAAAATACTCACTTTATACACACCACTGCCCCCTAGTGACTAGAATAATTCTATCAAATATTCTATTTAATGGATCCCCCTTAGTGTAAAAAAAAATAAAAATCTATTTACTGATCTAGCAGGAGGAAAAACCTTTCTCCAGGAAATGTGGGTTAATCCAACCAGTTACACTTGATCTTACCTTCCTGATCAAAGCATCTAGCTGTGGCCAGAGCCATCTAAAGCCACAGAGCACAGATGGACCACATGTATATTCTACTACAGATTCTTATCTTTAAAGGGTTAGCTGTGGTGGGGATGACCATTGAATACTAACATATCAGGCACATTTTCTCTTCAATGTCCCCCAACTCTTAAGAACTTGGCCTCCTTATACTTTTTATTTCTTATAATTTTTTAAGCAATAAGTATATATTATTTACATAAAGGGGGAAACTCACAATATTTTCAAGGGAGAAAACAATCTAGATTGCTAAAATAGAAACTTTGCACTCAAGATCTATTCCAGGTTTAGAATAACAAAACTGACTGACATCTTGAAGGACTGGCCTCGTTTACCTGTGGGCCAGTTAGCTTTAAACTCAGGAAAACCTCTAACCTCATTCACAGGGGAGAATGAATAGTAGTAGCTACTGTTTACACAGCACGCCTTGTGCTTTGCTATTTATATCTATCATCGCCAACAATAATGTGTGGCAGGTGTTATTACCCCCATTTTATAGATTAGACCAAGGGTTTATTTACATAAATGAGTCTAAATCTTTCTCTGACAAGAGAAAAACCACCTGAAAGGCAAGTACCACTTGAAGGTTAAGCAAGACACCATCTTGGTGTAACAGTAACAAATTATAAAAACTCTGACCCACAAACTGAAGAACAGTACCTAAGAATATTTACTGGTAAAAGACAGGTGTTCAAAGATGACCCAACTTGTACTGCTGTCTTCAATAATTAAATGCTAGTTAGCTATAAATTCACTGAGAAATTTATTCTATACAGACATAGGTAGGTTTGTGTTATCCAAATGCAAATTTAACTAGGTTTGAAATCCTAAAAGTAGCACTTTGAGCTAAATGATAACTTTCCCAATATTTTTTCAGTTTTACAAACCTAGACAGATGACAAATACACTTAAGTCTGTGTGAAGCATAAGGCCAAATTGGAAAGTGGACATGTGAACACCTCACTACCTGCTGCCCCCCCAGTGCGGGCTGCTGGGTCTGCTGGCCATTAGCAGCAATCCATTTTCCTCAGAAGCTCTTCAAAACAGTAACACTGATGCCTGACCTTGCATCTTTAAACACGTATTTCAGGGACTGGGAGCTTTTGGGACCATAACTTTAACACAGCCTTCCATAACAGTCTTTTCACTTTCTCTTACAAAGCATGACACAGCAATAACAGCAATGGACTGCTTCAGCCTCTTCACTTCTGCTGAAGCTACAACAACTTCTCCAACATATAAAGGAGCTGGAAAGTTAATTTCCTGGGAAAGAAATATACAGCCTGGCCCTGGCATTTTAGTACCCAGGAGAGCTGAAATAAGTCCATTGATCAAAACTCCATGTACAATTGTCTTTCCAAACTTGGTGTGTTTTGCAAAATCTTCATTTAAATGCAAAGGGTTGACATCCCCCGTTAATTCTGAGAAGACAACCACATCCCTCTGTGTGAAGGTTCTGCTGAGTTCAGCCCGGTCTCCAACTTGGATGTGCATATGCTGAAAGTGCTGCCTGCTTAGCACTGGCTGCTTCAGGCAGATTCTCTTCTGAAGCCTACCCCACCAAAGACGAGGGCTGGAAATTACTGGGAACATCTTGAGCACCCTCAAATTCCTTCAACGGGGCCTCTTAGCCTGCTTCAGTCTTCAAACATTATGCTGGTTCCAAAAAGTACTTTTAAGAACAGAGGGATGTTTCTGAAAATGAAGAATATTCAATCCAATACTAGTTCCCTACTATTACCAGACAATGCAAGGAGAAAGGGAGAAACCTAAAAGAGAAAGAAAAATGTTAACACAGTATCAGGAGAAAATTACACTGAGACACAGAGCAATGTAGAAACATGCTAAGTTTATAGGATAGGCCATGTTGATATAATAGCATTTTAAAGAGCATCCTGAGAAGTAGCTTTAGATAAACAAGTGGTCATGATGAACTCAGAAAAAGCACTGTAATACTAAGACACTAGGCATTATGCAATAAATGAAAAGTTAAGACTTCTCCACAAGGTTCCAAGTTTTACCCCTAAACTCCTCCCACACTATCTAATATCTAAGTACTCTGAATCATGTTTCCAGAAGCAATGAAGTCCTGGATTTCCTGCCCCAAGCTGGATAATGTTAACCAAACCAGACTTACGCAAGCACAAATATGAACACATACTAAAAAGCAGTCTGTCTGATCCACTACTCCGTCTTGTTTGGAATATGTGAAGAAACAGTCTTTACCTGAATCACTCTGAAAGCACATTTCTTGCCTTTATAGGATCCTAACAGGGTCAAAGAGCTCCACAATTTGACAAGACCACTGTGGAAAAATTAAAAAAGCATAAAGATATGTCCCTGCAACATTCCTAGTACTTTTGTTTGTAACGGTCCGGAAAACCTAATTTATTTATTTTTATTTATTTTATTTTTTAAATATATCTTTATTGATTTCAGAGAGAGGAAAGGAGAGGGAGAGAGAGAGATAGAAACATCAATGATGAGAGGGTCATTGATTGGCTGCCTCCTGCACACCCCCGACTAGGGAATCGAGCCCGCAACCCAGGAATGTGCCCTGACCAGGAATCGAACCCCGATTGCCTGGATCCTAGGTCGACGCTCAACCACTGAGCCACACCTGGCCGGGCCAGAAAACCTAATTTAAATGAGAAATCTTCTGCCTGGCTGGCGTGGCTCAGCAGTTGAACATCGACCTATGATCCAGGAGATTGCAGCTCAATCCCCTGTAGGGGGCGTGCAGGAGGAGGCAGCCAATCAGTGACACTCTCATCATTGATGTTTCCCCCCCCTTCCTCTCTGTAAAATAAATAAATAAATAAATAAATAAATAAATAAATAAATAAATAAATAAAATGAGAAATCTTTAAAGCATAATATATCATAGGCAGAGAATAAAATGAATCTCAACTAGGAATGTTTCTAAAACATGTATTTCTGAGTTTGTAACCATCCCACAGTTGTAAGCAAAAACACGTTTTGCTCTCTAGGGTGTAAGCTCCTGCTAGGTGACTGTTCATGTTCTCCCAAGTTTAAACTTCCGAAAGCTGCTCAGAGTTCACAATGACAAAACTCTTCTTATTCTCAGAAAAGAGCAGTTTTGCTCTATTTCCCCATCTGTCTCTCTGCTCCGTTACACTAGGAACGTTCTGTTTGTCATACCTGCTACATATTCTCAAGATGGCTGACAAAGTCTTCTCTTCGTAGGTTAGCAGGTCCAAGGGTAAGGCAGCATCAACCTATGTACAGAATAATGCTATTAGCAGACTATTATCTTCATCAGTCTAGAACTCTAATAACTAATCCTGTCAACTGCTTTTCTCCTCCAAAACAGCAGTATTTTATTGAATGGTGCTGGAGTACTGGGCCTGCTTATTTCTAACTCTCCCCTGCCTGGAATGTCCTTCCTGGAATTACTCACATTGCTAATGACTCTTCACCCTCTAAGTCTTTATTTAAAGTGTTCTTTCCAGATCCCCAGGATTAAGCTCAACCACTTGCTATGCTTCCTCACATACAGGACCCACATATTTCCTCTTTCATAATACTCATCATTCCTGCCATTAACTGTTCAACATGAGTGCCTATGAAACATAACCAAGACCATGAGTCCGTGAAACAGAGGCCAGGTCTGTTTATAGCTATAGCCCCAGGAACCAGGTTTTATACCTGACACGAAAAGGATACACAGATTTTTTTTTTCTTAAGCTTTTTAAAATCACTTTATTTTATTTTTTATTGAATTTATTGGGGTGACATTGGTTAATAAAATTATATAGGCTTCAGGTGTACAATTCTATAATACATTCTCTCTTTATATTGTATGTTCACCACCCCGAGTTTTTTCTTAAACTTTTGATTTTCAAAAACTAGTCATAGGAGATTGCAAAAAAATGTACAGGAAGGTTACGTGTACCCTTTACCCAGCCTCCCCCAATGTTAACATCTTGTATAACTATAGTATGATATCAAAACCAAGAAACTGAAATAGATAAACCAGAGTTCATTGATTTTACCAGTTACATATGCACTCACATCTGTTTGCTTGTGTGTGTGCATATGCACAGTTCTATGCAATTTTACCACATAGGTAGTTTCATGTAACCACTACAATAAAGAACTATACCACTGCCACAGACCCTCTCCTTCTACCCCCTTACAGCCACACCTACTTCTCCTCCACATGCTTAACCCCAGGCAACCACTAATCTTTCTCTACATTATATAATTATGTTATTTCAAGAGTATTATATAAATGAAATCCTCCATCCATTCCATTTGGAGTTGGCTTTTTCACTTAGCATAATTCTCTGAGGATTAGGTCAAGTTGTTGTGTGTATCGATATACTAGTTTGTTCCTTTTTATTACAGAGTATATTCCATGATATGCATGTATTATAGTTTAATTATTTACCCACAAAGGATATCTGGCCTATTTCTACTTTTGGGCTCTTAGTAATAAAGATGCTATGGACATGCACATACAAGTTTTTGTGGCTATGTTGTTTTCATTTCTCTAGGATAAATGCTCAGTGTGCAACTGCTGGTTGTATGGTAGGTACATGTTTAGTTTGTTCAAGAAAATGCTGGCACGCTCTTCCTCCTGGGGACACACTCAGGCCTTTCTTCCCTCTCAGGCACGCATCTCCTAAACTCTACAAGACTTGCAACCAGGGGAGCAACGGGCAGCAGCAGCTGGTCCCAGGCTAACCCTCTGAACCTATCTCCAAGGCTGTGTTTTCTCTGACTTTCTAGTGAGCCAAAGCAGCCCCACCTAGGTTCATTTCTTTTCATTTCTTTTCTATAACATTTCTAGAGAGCCAAGGCAGCCCCACCTAGTCCCTCTCCTGTTGCTTCTTCTGTCCTAGGCTCTTCTTTGTTTCACTGCCCCCAGCTTTAATAAAGGTACTCTTGCCCGGCCTGGCGTGGCTCAGCGGTTGAGCGTCGACCTAGGATCCAGGCGATCGGGGTTCGATTCCCGGTCAGGGCACATGCCCAGTTGCGGGCTTGATCAATGACTCTTTCATCATTGATGTTTCTGTCTCTCTCTCTCCCTCTCCTTTCCTCTCTCTGAAATCAATAAAGACATATTTTTAAAAAATAAAAAATAAAAAAAATAAAGGTACTCTCAAAATAAAAAAGAAATAAAAAAGAAATTGCCAAACTGTATTCCAAAGAGGCTGTACCATTTTCCATTCCCACCACCAATGTATGAGTAATTCAATTTCTCTGCATTCTCACCAGCATTTAGTGTTATCACTATTTTTTATTTCAGTCATTCTGCTAGGTGTGCAGTGATATCTCATTATGTTTAAAAAAATTTAATTGATTTGAGAGAGAGAGGAAGGAGTGTGGGGGGAAGAGAAACATTGATTTGTTGCTCCACTTATTTATGCATCCAGTGGTTGATTCTTGTGTATGCTCTGGCTGGGGCTTGAATCCACAACTTTGGTGTATTAGACGATTCTAACCAACTGGGCTACTAGGCCAGGGCTCATTGTGTTTTTTTACTTTTGTTTAAGATTTTTTCATTGACTTTGAGAGAGGAAAGGAGAGGGAGAGAAACATCCACTGATGCAAGAGAGACACACCAATTTGTTGCCTCCTGTGCATGCCCCGAATGGGGCCAGAGATCAAACCTGCAGCCCAGGTATGTGCCCTTGGCTAGAATCGAACCTCCACCTTTTGGTGCTCAGGCTGCTCTAACCACAGAGCGACACCAGCCAGGGATCACTGTGTTTTTAATGTGCATTTCCCCAATGGCTAATGATGTTGAATGTCTTTCATTCATGTGCTTCTTTTCTACTGTACATCGTTTTCTTTTGAGTGAAATGTCTTTTGTCCATTTTCTTAATTGTATCATTTGGTCTTTCAATTGTACTGTTTGAGTTCTGAGAGTTCTTTATACATTCTAGATATTAGTCCTTTGTCAGGTATGTGGTTTGCAAATATTTTCCCTCAGTCTGTAATTTGTCTTTTCGTCCTCTTAACTGAGTGTTTTGTGGAATAAAAGTCTTTAATTTTGATAAGGTGCTTAGCAGATTTTGATTTGATAGAATATATGAATCAAGAAATAACTTCCCGCCCTGGTCAGTGTGGCTCAGTTGGTTGGCCATCATCCCATGCACCAGGAGGTGTGGTTCGATTCCTGGTCCAGGGCACGTGCCTGGGTTGCAGGCTCCATCCACAGGTGGGGGGTGGGGAGGGGTGTGCAGGAGGCAGCCAATCCACGTTGTGCTCTCACATCAATGTTTCTATCTTTCTCTCTCTCTAAAAAATCAATAAACTATTCTAAAAAAAGAAAGAATTTCCTGAAAATCAACTGTCTTAGTTCTCTCTCAAAATTCTACTTGTTTTCAAGTGAATGCTAAAACAGTACTGCTCAAAGTGCTGGTCTGCAATAACATAAGGAGCTGGATCAGAAAGTAAATCAACAATATCAGCTGAACTATTTAGTTCAGCTCAGTTTTGTTCATAAGGAGACTTTCTCAGTAAAGGAAGTTGTGTGCTGCTTTACATTCTACTGTGAGCCACAAATCTTCAAATGGGCAAAAAAACCCAGTTTGTAGGTTGTTGGTCTCGACCATACTTTGAGTAGCACTGCACTAAAATAAACATTTGTCTAACGAGTTCGTTGTCAAAAAGAAAACATTTTAGAACACACCTACCAAAAATTCATCATTTCTGAAGGTCTGCTTCTGAAATTTCAAATATGGTTTTAAAGTTTAAAATGTTTAGAAAAGTGTTATTTCAGAATTTATTACAAAGATCTTAGGAGTGTTCAATCCACCAAGTGATTCCATACCTCCCCAAACAGGTCCTTCAGGGCTGAAATAAGCAGCTGCTTGAACTGTGCAGCATTCAGTGCAACCCCATGATCTTGAAATTCTCTGAAAAAACATTAAAAAGAAAAAAATATATTGTATTAAATTTCGTGCTATTCAGATTCATTTAAAAAATAATAAAAATAGAAGTTAGGAGACTGAACTTACAGGCAGACTTTCATGTAGTGGTGCTCAGAGGGATTTTTGTAAACGATTCTTTCATACGTAGCAGCTGGGGCTGGCATCCTTTCCAATGCCGATTACACCTACATTAAGAGTCAAGAGGGTTAGAAATTACCAAGGTACATGCTATTTTTCACTTTTTCAATGAGAATTTGACCTATTTTCTCTTATTTTTCTTTTAGAGAGAAAATGGAGGGGAGGGAGGGAAGGAGGAAGGGGGTACGGGGAGAGAGACAGAGAGACAGAAACATGGATGTGAAAGACACATCCATTGGTTGCTTCCCGCATGGGCCCTGACCAGGGCCATAAATCAAGCCTGCAACCAAGGTATGTGCCCTTGACTGGGAATCGAGCCCAAGACCCTTTGGCCCCTGGGCTAACACTCTAACCACTGAGCCAAACCAGCCAGAGCTACCTATTCGATTTTGTAAAAGAACTCCTAAGGACACCAACTCATTCAATTTTGGTCAAACTAAGGTTACTCATGCAGACACAAAGGACATTTCTATATTTTATAATATGCCAGACTATGGTGTTCTTATTTAAACTCTAATAACATAATTCCGCTGAATATTTTCCCTACTCAGTACCCAGCTCTGCTAAATGCTTCACACACCTTGTCATGTATTCAAAATGATCCTATGAGGTAAAAGCTATTATTATTCCCATTTTTGAGAAAAGGACGTTGAGACTTGGCAAAAATAGGTAACAACTGCCAAAGAGGGAATCCAGAGATTCCAACCACTCCTGAGTGCCCTCAAGACCACTCTGGTAAGCCTCTTAACTTTAAAAAAGTAAAAGCAAAAAGGAGTAAAACCTGGGCTCTGAAGGCCCTCTTCTTGTTTACTGCCAGTCAACACAGAATATGAACAGGAGGAGAGGTGGTAGGTAGTTCTGCTGTCCCCTCCCATGCTGGGGGGTCTGCAAATTCTCTCAGAATTTGTCCAGAGGCTAGGTCAGCACCCGTCTATTTGGGAGCCCCAAGAAAAATGGAGCTTAAACAGAAGGGGTTGAGAAAAGGAATTCCTGGAATGGGCACCCAATGCTCTCTCTCACAGATAGGAAACTCTCAAGAATTCAGAACATGCCAATCTCCACGTAGAGAATCCCTGTCCTTGGCTCCACTACTACCTCACTGTGCCTCTGGACAGTTCCTATTCATCCTTCAGATTTTAGCTTAGAGGTCACCTCTTCCAGGAGCTTTACCTCTTCAGGGAGGCCTTCTTTGACATCTTGTTCTAAGTTAGGTTCTCTTGTTATGCAATCTCTTAACACTATCCATTTGTTTAACATATGGTTCCCCAACTAAAGAGACCAGGAAACTGAGGCCCAAACAAGGAAAGGGACTTATAGAAAGTCACAAAGCTATAGACCAGCATTTGCCAAAACCTCTGTGGGCCAGGCCATTCCAACCACTCTCAAATAATAACCACCAGAGAAAATGAGAAGTCAGGGTCAAGGAGCTACATCCAACTAACCATTCAACAAACATGAATATTTACAATGTCTAGCACAGAGTAGGTACTCAACACTTATTGAATACATAATTGAATGAACGGTGGAAGTGTTAGGCCTATATGTTCAACAGTATCTTTGGTTTCAGGACTGCAGCAATGGTTACCTGGTGCTTCTTTCCCAATCATTAGTCTCCCCTGACTAGAAGGGCAGGGAGAACAGAACCCTCAATTATTTCATTCATTGCCTGGCACATGATAGGTATTTTTTAGGCATTTCTGCCTTAATGGAGATGGTTGCCTGAGGTAGGGGAATGAGACTGGGCCTGGGATTTAGGATGCCAATAACAATGAAGACTTAAAACAGTACTCTGGAAATGGATAGTGGAGATAGTTGTGAGTGTAGTTAATGCCAATAAACTGTACATTTTTTTAAAAAAGACTTAAGAAGCGTTGTCCGGCCGGGCGTGGCTCAGCGGTTGAGCGTCAACCTGGGATCCAGGCCATCGGGGTTCGATTCCTGGTCAGGGCACATGCCCGGGTTGCAGGCTCGATCAATGACTTGTCATCATTGGTGTTTCTCTTTCTCTTTCTCTTTCTCTCTCTCTCTCTCTCTCTCTCTCTCTCTCCTTTCCTCTCTCTGAAATCAATAAAGATATATTTAAAAAAAAAAAAGAAGCAAGTGTTGAGCTGTCACCTCTGGCTGAACTGGCCTGAGCCTCAGGGTCATTGAAAACACTGCCCTCTACAGGCTATCCTGAGATTTAAAAGGTTGACGCTCGCCGGGCAGGGGTGGCTCAGCTGTAGAGTACGGACCTAGGATCCAGGAGGTCCCGGTTAGACTCCCGATTGGGCACATGCCCCGGTTGCAGGCTCGATCCCCAGTCTGGACGTGCAGAAGGCAGCAAGATCAATGACGGCTGTCTCATCACTGATGTTTCTCTCTCTCCCTTCCTCTGAAATCAGTAAAGATATATTAAAAAAAAAAAAAAAAGG